ATCATTTTAAGAGTTGGAGTGACTAAGTATCTATAAGTGTCTAAGTCAGAATGAGTAAGCACCATGTGATTATAGTTCGTGATATACTAAATATCACATGGAGTATGCACATATATGAGTTTAAATCGTGATGAATTCTTCGTTTCGAGAATAGAAGGGAAAAAAATCTAGGTGGAAAAGATGATACTAATGGTTCTAGTGCCAAATTCGATTCGAGCTCATTCGTTATGTATGTTAAATCAGGTTGTTATTGGGCCAACAATATTTATCCAAGCCTTCTAAAATTAAATTTTCTTCACAAGAACTAATTGGCCGGTGAAGTCGGGACAGCGGTGCGCCCCTTCCACAGCCCCTGCCGACCAATCTCTCTCCGCTCTCTCGTGTCAAGTTTTCTTTTATTTTTTGTTGTTTTTTTTATTTTCTTTTTTTGGTCTATTTTCTTTTTTTTTTTTAAGTTTGGCATTGCCACATATCAGTAAAATACATTAAATTTGCATTTTTCGTTACTCAAATCGAACATAGCCAACTGAGGTATTAATTGCTCAAGATTTGACTACACTTTTTATTAGTTTTTAGGACTCAATTGCACTTTTGCTATTAATATAAAGAATCGAATCTTTAACTATACAATGTCTCTTTTGTTATAGTATTAGTACAACATATATTTCTCCAGCACATTGTTAGTCTTAAAAACTGAAGCTACCCATTACCCAATGCTTAACCTGAGATTTATGGATGACTGCAATGGTAGGAATCTACTTTAACCTCAACTACTTCAAACTCGTCTCTCCTTACGTAATGTTCAAGTGTAAACTCACACGAATGCTCCTGCAGAAGAAAATATCCTCGGAATTCGCAAATCCAAGTAGAGAGTTGCGTGCAATGCTTCTAGAATACACTCGGATCGTGTACAACTTGGTCCATCATTCCACGAAACCGAAGTCTTTCCTGACTCATACTTCATAATATTTGGATGATGAGTTCTATGCTGTTAGAGACAAAATATCCATGATTTACGTGCACACCTGGCGAGCTTGCCATTGTTGTCGCACAGTTTTTTCAGGTGCTCAGCAAATCTCTTAAGACTTCACAAGTTGCTTATGATTTCTATGTAAATGGGGGTCCAACTTCTTTGGATAGGATGATGCCTTTGGACTATAGGAAAACTTCTTTTGCCTTGCTGCTACGTAAAATCTATCAAAAGTTCTTTGTTGAGTCAGCTTACCGAGAAAGAACAATACCGTAGGATGCACGACATGATTACTGTGACCAGCATTGGGCTTTCAGCGTCGAATGCTAAAACTAATATTTTTCTTCCCAAACCATCCTCACCAATTCTTTCATTTTATGGTTTTGCACCTAGTTGTGACTGTTCATATTCTTTGTACGAAAGCGGCCGACGAGGCTAGATCGGGCCGGCGAAGGGTCGGCAAGAGGCCAACTAGGTCGCGTGACACAGGCGACCATTGCCTTTTCATGGGTCGTGTGATAGTCATCAGTGGCCTTAACCCTTCGTCAGAGCCGACAAAGGGTTTGAATTTTTTAATAAAAAAGAAAAAATATTTTTAAAAGCTATTTGCAATAAAAAAATTTGCCAAACACTATTTAGGCCAAAGTAACTTTATAAATGATTTTTTACCAAACGCAATTTGCATTTCTTCAAAGCACTTTTGGCCAAAGGCATTTGCATTTTCCCAAGAAGCTGAACCAAACGCACACAATTGTCTTACTCACTAACAACCACTTCGTGCATCTTGGATTCGAGGAGAGAGAGTGGAGTGAGCAAAGCTAGGGTTTTTGTGTGGAAGGCAGACGACGCCAGAGCCGATCCCGCCATTCCGTCCACCAAAGCTCCCGATGCATCTCGGATGATGCAAGCGAAGGAACCCATGGTTGATCCTTCAACATAAGAGCCATCGAAGTTTGACTTTAAAAATCGTCCCTTTGGGGGAATTGATCTACGAGGTGAGTCGACTATTTCTGAATTTTGCTTTGGTTGTTCAAAATTCCATTTGCCCCAATTTCTGAGCATGTATTGTGCTGATTCTACAAGATTTACTGGATTGGGGTATTGGAGCCGAAATATAAAAACGTTCCTCGCCTTCCAGATGCACCACAATAAACTAGCCACAGTCTCCAATGATGTGAGGTTTTCTATTTTTCCTTTAAATGTGAGTAACCATTCTTCGATTTGCGACAATCATCTCCTTGAAATCTCAATCTGTAGTGCAGAATTTGCCTAGATCAGCGAAGTCCATGGACAAAGCAGGAACAAATGCTCGATTGTCTCGGCCTCTCGGTTACACGGGGGGCATGTATCATCAGGTAATATATTTCTTCTATGCATATTAGCTCTGGTAGGGAAAGCATTTTGACATAAACTCCATGTAAAGATTGTGATGTGGGGGCGGGTTTTCATTTGCCAAATTCTATATCATAACTCACAGGGTGGTTGAAATGACGATCATTGAGCTCTTATGTTTTGGATATTAGCACTTCTATGTTATAAGCACTTTTAACTGTGTATGGTCCAGATTGAGTTCCTGTCCACACGATTCTGTCTCGTGCATTTTGGGTCTTCAGGGGAATTGTTAGTATTTCTCTAACTAATTGTTAGAGAAAAGTCTACTCATTCCATCTATCCTCGTTGATAATCAACTCAGCAACACGGTAGGTTCTCCGTAATTTGCTGGTCCCCCAGTAACTCCTCTCTTGAGCCATTTGTCTTCTCGTATATTGATATTTTCACCATTACCCACTAGTGATACTCTCCCATTTTCAAATCTTCCCAATAGCATTGATAAAATTGACCATTCAATCCATCCTGGCCTGATGCTTTCAAAGCTCCCATTTGAAACACTGCCCTTTTCACTTCCTTTATTGTAATTTTTTTAGTTAGCTTCTGATTCATCTCATCCGTAACAAGGACAGGGCATTTTTGTAGCACTAGATCAAAGTTCCGAGTACCTACAGTGCTATAAAGTTCTCGGAAATATTCTACCGTCATCTCCTTTAGCTCTCTAGGTTCCCGATTCCATCTTTCTTCCGCAATTTTCTAGGGTTAAATTATATTTCTCTGCCTCCTTTGTATGGTTGTAGCATAAAAGAAGTTAGTGTTTTTATCGCCCAATTTCATCCAATTAATCTTTAAATGCAAGCCTCAATACATTTCCTCGTCTCCAATATTACTCAATTCGATCAGTAAGTAATTGTATTTTTTTCTCTCTCAAAACGAAAGTCTTGTGCATTTAACAAAAACTGAAGCTCCTCTTTCAACTCTATAATTTTCTTTATGTTATTAGGAAAGTTCTTCTTACTCCACTTAGCCAGCTCTAAAGTTGTAACTTTCATCTTTTTTGCTAAATTCAAAGCTTCAATGGTAGGGGATTTCCATACCTGCTTAATTGTCTTTCCACACCCTTCGTTTTTTGGCCAATATACTTCAAATTTGAACAACTTAGCTTTTTTACTTGCTCGGCTGAGATTGATAATAAGAGGGGACAGTGGTTTGAACCAATGGCTGGTAAAGCGATGGCGTCAGCTTCAGCACGCATGATTCTCCACTCGGTGTTACATGTTACCCAGTCTAGTCTCTTTTTAACAAACTCCTCACCTTCACGATTATTTGCCCAAGTAAACGCACACCCCTTACTTTCCAAATCCATTAAATCACAAGCATTTAAGAAGTCTTGAAAAGCTTTTAACCTATATTGCTCAGCTCTTCTTTTCCCTTCATTCTCCCAATGATAAAGTATTTCGTTAAAATGACCCAAGCATACTCAAGGGAGAACTTCATGTGAGTTTAGAAGTTGAATCCTCTACATAACACTGATCGATCATGGAATGTTGCCGGAGCATGGATAAAGGTTAACCTACTTTTGTCCCCTCTCACAGTATCTTCATAAATGACATCCACAAACTCATCCGCAGCCGAGTCCACCATTCCAAAAAGAGAGCCACCTCTCCCCCCACCCCACCCCCCCTCTCTTCCCTTTTCAATCCCCTCGGATTCACCACAAAGCTGTGATGAAAGTTCAGCCTTTGCCTTGTTCTTTGGACAGCTACTTCTTGATTTTTTGTTTCCATTAAGAACATCAAATTGGACCTTTACTGAGCATAATGGCTCTCAAAGCCTAAATTGTCAAGGGTGAGCCCAACTCCTGACAGTCCTAGCAAATAAGCTTCATTTGCTCCCCAGTTTATTCGGGCTAGCCACCAAAGCCCATTTTCCAGCAGGTGCTGCCTTCTGAGTAGGTGTATCCATCAATTGTTCCTCTTCGAGCATATTTTGAGGGTTTGAATGCTGATCATAAGGATAAAATCTTTTCCCTTTCTTGGATGTTTTCCTTTGCTTTCTCTGCAATTTTTCCTCGACTAATTGTGTTAGAGGAAGCTCCATTGGCAAAGTAAGTGCCAAATATTGGGAAGGGAATTCATTTGAACTCGGTTCAGCCCCTTTAGCACAAAATCTATATCAATAAATTTTCTCTGACCTCTTTCTTCTTGTGAAGAGCTGTGATGGCCCTAGGAGCTGCTTGATTCGTTCACAACTAGAGTAAATTGTTCTTGCTGAATTTCTAGCACCATTTCGTCCTGCTCTTCCTCCCCACTAATTTCTCCATAGAAGGCCTCCCAGAAAGGGCTATGTGTATTTGCTTCAGCTTTTAACCACGAGCCATAAAGCACCTTATCATTTGTGGAAATAAATGATTCATCATAAGGCACCTATTCACAGTTTTGCGCATAATGGCCAATTCTCCCGCACGAGAAATAGAAGTGCAGGAGTCACTCGTATCTAAAATCCAGCCAGTGTTCCTTTCCTTGAAAACTAGGAATTTTCCAGATACTATAGGATTTGACAACTCCAAAGTTACCCTAACTCTTCCTACTACAATAGAGGCAAAACCTTTAGTTTCGAGTGTAACCTCCCAGACAACACCCGCATGTTTAGCAATTTTTTTAATAGCTTCTTCGGACCTTCCTTCTATAGGTAAGTGGTATATTTGCATCCAAAAAGCACAAGAGTTAAATGCAATACAATGGGGAGGGGTGCTCGGCTCCCAAGGCTTGAGAACCAGGACATGACTGGAAAATGACCATGGCCCTGACTTGAGAATCCTGTCTTTTTCTTCTGACGAGGTAAACTCAAAGGAAAACAACCCAAGTTGTAGGTGTTTGTAGACTAAATTTGCTTATTTCCATGCTTTAACCATTATAGATTGGAAAGCTTGGAAGTTCATGTTGGGATTCCCGTGAAGATGGCCAAATAAGGTACGTTCGCATTCATCTAGTTTCTCCTCTGAAACGACCTCATCCAGTCCAGATGTCTTTCTTTCCGGCCACAAATGTCCTAATCTTCTACAAAGAGCAGCTATACGTCTAGCAGCCTCATTTTCAGTACCCATTATGTCTTACTAACCTCGTATTTTCTGTAGAATACACCAAGAAGGTGCCGAATACTAACCGCCAAAAGAGTCTATCTCGGCATGCCACAGTATGAGAGCTATAGTCGTCCGGGACTTTTTCAAATGACTTCTCAACAGATTCAATTGGAGGGGAATGTAAATGCCCTGATTTGCATTTTGTAGTGAAGGCCGTAAAAGGTTGTTCAGACTGCTCGTAACTGGTAATGGGATAAGATGTAACTTAGGGTTAGGGTGAATGATGGGCGGGAGGAAAGGATTGATTACCCAAAGGGAAAGGGCAAAACAATTGCATCAACATTGTTAACTGGTAATGCTACGGTTTAGTTAGGGTTTCAAGCAAAGGGGAAGCTACCATGGAGGTAGGGAAAAGCTCTATAAAACGAGAGAGAACTCCGTCGGTCAAATGAAATGTGAAAATCTATAAGAATTCTTCAGCTAGCAGGGAACAATTTGACATTTCCATATAGAATCATCCTAGAACATTAAATGTTTCACCTAATGAGAGTCTTTCAATACTGACTAGGCGATAATATCACTAACAAAAGAGATGGTTAGTTTTTTAAGTTAAAAGATGGTTAGTTTGAGTCTCGATATTCACGACGAAACGCTTTAGCATTTGCCTTTAGCGATACTCACTCTTGGTGCAAGCTCTACTTGCCCTCTATTTGATCTGTTCAATCCAATGTCATTTAACACTAATAAACTGAAGATAGAGTCAGCAATCCTTTTTGCGTTGCGACCTATCAACATCACATCCACGTCTTCGTTGATCTTAGGCTCAACCCCGTGTCGAGACTCCGCTTTATGGACGGAAAGAGAACTTCGAGAGGATCAATGAATATCGCAATTATAGGTATACGGTGTGGCGACGATAAGAAGGAAAAAGTGCGATTGTCAATGATCAGTTCTAAGTTTTACACGTGTAGAGCACATATTTTCCAAGTTTCTACATCGTCACTTTGATAATTTCATATGTTAGAGAAATGAAGAGAAAAATTGAACATTGTTAGATTTCTTGATATTTATCTTTACACCATGTATTAGTAAAATCAATCACAACCCTGTTGATGGCATAATTATTTGCTATTTACATCGCATGCACATTCACTTACATTCCTATAAGCACCTACGAAACTCCCCTAATTAATTGGCAATGATGCTACCGTTCTCCAATTGTCCATAATTCGCCAAACAACAAATTACGCAACGATCCGTTTGTGAATTTGAAACTATAGAAGAGCTATAGGAAAGCATGTGGAAATGAAGAGAGAATTTTCATCGTACAGATCGAAGTCTCTTCGGTATGGCAGAGTACATTTCTCCATCTTATACAATTTGGTCCATGAATCATTGACGCCGAACTCTTTCATAACCCCTATTTCTAGCAAGCTAATGTGTTTCGGTCCTCAAGCCATTGTATCTGGTGGTGCCATTTTCAGGAAAACATCTTCGACTACATCAAATAGGATCAACAATGCGACAGTTTCGCGATCTACGAGAAAACGAGGGCACCAACAGATGAAATCCTCGACCGTGGCTAAATAAACAATTCCATTGCATGAACCAATTAAACAAACCTTCCTGTGGTCTTGGACAAATGAAGTATTGACATTAGATAGTTCGCTTTCAAAAGAATACTGCGTCTGCACTCTCAAAAGGTTGTTCGTGCCGTACTTTAACAAAGATCGAATTTTCGCAGTTCGGTTCGTCTCTCAAGATAAGCTCTGATAAAAGAGATGCTGGTAAGAAGAATATTTCAAAATTTATATACACACCTGAATCGAACCAAAGGCCTTGCAGGGGAGGGACCCTCAATAAGATCTCCACAAGAAGGTCAACCGGAAAGCTCTCCATTATTTTTGTAGACCCATTTTTCTTTTTTCTTTTTTTTGGTAGAAATTTTTGTAGACTTCTTCAAGTAGCAGATATATATAGACTCCACAATTGTTTCTGATTTCAATGTAGATGACGATGCATTTATATTGGGCGTAACGATGCCTTTTGCCTTATCTAGAAGACATCTTTTTGGGCCCTACCCAAGTGTTATATTTTAATAAAAGGTCTTTGTCACATTATTGCAATCAATTTATGGTTACTGAAGAAAAATAATATGATGGGATTCGTGTAGCGCTTTATCTTGAGCCCGTCAATGCAACCCGCATACCCTATTATCCCAATTTGAATTTGAATGTTAGCTAAATTATTTTTCGTTAGTCATGTACCGTGCACGTGAATAAAGTTTAATTAGTTATTAATTCTTGTATTAAGCATACTTTTGCCCTCGGTTGGAAAAACAACACCAAAATACAGCAAAGGGCATAAACGTCAAAAGAAAAGAGATTTGAAATAGTTGCTAAAAGGATGAGCGGGATGCAAATAAACATGAAAACGGCAAATTAATTAGGGTTGACAATTTTTTTACGGGACCCTTTACAAGATACTTCATTAAGGACGTTCAAAATCGAGGATAACCGTGTGTAATCATATTTTAGCAAAAAAAAAAAACTAAATGTAATCATAAATACGCATCTATGATCATTTTCAATCCGACACGCTTTGACACATTTAATTAAATGCACCAACCTGTCTATATACAAATAATATAAGCGTCTTTGTCGATATGGTCATTTTCAATCCATTTATGATACGCTATGATATGTTTAATTAAATAGATCAACTTTTTATACGTATCAAAATTAGTCACGTCGCGCTTTATCTGACTGTGAAGAAATATCGAATCGATGCTTAATCACATTAGATGGAGAGGCCCTCTCAATCAATCAAACGTTTTATTTGACCTTACCATGCTAGGATACTTACATTGTGTTCCAACAACTTGGAAAAGAAAAAAATAATAACAATAATAATGGTATGCTAGTGACGCTGATTTGACACAAAGAAAATAGCTCATCCACCAACCAGAATTATCGAGTGATTCATGCATTCCACTTGAGCGGATAAGTGATGAGAAAGTTGGTGGCCGCACATGGCGACATCTAGAGTAGGTGGAATTTTTTTCTTGATCTGTTTTTTTTTTTAATTTGACTAGTCTTTATAATAATATATATAAGTATTTCCAGCGATTTGAATCATCCAAAAGTATCACGTATTTAATTAAGGAGAGATTTCAACTCTTATTAAGCAATATTATACGCTTAAGTCTTGATATTTATGACGAAATGCTTTAAGAAAAGGTAAGCACGCTAGTCAAGCAAGCAACCACCAAGGAGTTAGGCCGTCTAACTTTGAAAACACCTATCAATCTTAGTAAGTTGTTAACATTTTGCTTTGGAAAATATAAAATATCAGCCATTCTACCCAAACGATTTCATACGCCCTTGATTAAAAATTATAACTATCTCTCTCTCAAATAAACAGTGTGTAAAGTTGGTTGCGTTTGGAAACTGCTCGGAGGATGCTACAATTATCCAATTTAGTTCAATGTTCTATGTCATTTCCACTAAAAAAAGGAGGAGACGGAGTGTATAGTGTTCTTTGCATTGCGACCCATTAAAACGAAGTCGAAGATCCCGACATCTCACGCCCGTATTTTCCCGGATCTTATGTTGGACTCCGACTCGCTTTATGGGAAAAAGAAATAAAGAGGAAACAAGGCCGAATTGATGATACGAAAGACGAAAGAAAAGTTCGTGAACACTAGTATACATCACAATAATAGGTATACGGTCACAATAACATGTCCCGTTTATGGCAAATCATATGTTAAACACAAAGAGCGACGGCCGGCGATCCTTTCCGGGGATTCCTAGCAGCACTCCTCCAGGACGCAGCAACAGCACAGCGCAGCGAAGCTTGAAAAGAAAGAAAGGAGAGTAATTAGGACAAGCGAACGTATAATTAGCTGAACCTATAAATATAAAAAAAAAAAAATAGGGCTACACGGTGTGATTGTAACGTACCAGCCCTTCCAAAAGCCATCGCCCCTAGTCTTGGTCTCAATAGGGACGGCTTTCTGGGCAGGCTGTTGACCGTCCCTGGTGGGATAGCCGGCCGGTGGGGGCGGTGCCGTGTAGGTCGCCGCCGGTGCTGATGCCGGTGGTGGGTAGGCCACTGCACAAATTTTGCATACCGTCATCACAAGTCATCAGTATATGAATACTCAAGAGTATAATTCAAGCTGAATAGTTCGAAAAACATCGTTTGAACTTCAGTGGTGGGGGCCAACGTCCACAATCACCACCTCCGCCAGCCGCCTGAAGACCGCCGGTGACTCCTCTCAAGAAGTCAAACAAGAGTTCTAACCAAGAAGAACCGGTGCTAATTTGATTTCTTAGTCAAGTTCAACAAATAAAAGGCGGACAGACAGACAAAACAACGAGTCCTGAACTGTTGTTTCAATCGTCAATCGACCATCATCTGATGTCGGAGCTCTCACTTAGCCCTAATCATAAGCAACGCGCGATTCCTCACCTCCTAAGTTCACGTAAATCCTTATTGTTGCAATAAAAAGAGGGGCCAAAGAAACGATTTTGCCGAGATCATATTGGCGAAAATTGCAGAGGATCGACGGAGATCGAGGATGATTATTACCTGGGATTTGGTCTTGGTTGTTGTATTGGCTCATCTTCGATCGGAAACGTTGACTGAGATCTCTTCTAGCTCACGGAAACCCTGTGCTTGGAGAAAGAGAGATGATGGAGATGATGGAGAGAGGAAGCGAGAGAGATGATAAGGATAGAGAGATTGCAGATTTGGTGCGAGATTTATAGAGAGAAATGATGAGAGGAAGAAGACAAGGAGGAGGGAGCTAAAAGGATTACGGTGCTTCCCAAGGCGCGTCACACCGCGTGGGGCTCGATTAGACTAAGCAAAGGCCAAGCAATAGAAAAGGAAAATATTTGTATACTCTCTCTTTGATTAAAGGTGTTACAATCAACCGGTAGGGGCTTCCCCAGTAGCCACCATTCCCACATGGGAATAGAGGGGCCGACCAGAAATGGGGAAGTGGGGAGTTCCATACTACCCTCCTTAGGAAAAGAGATTTTTATGGGGTTTCCCCATGTGAGCCCACTAGCGGCTCGCTGAGGAGGAGTTTCAAAGTCAAGATGTACATCTGGCAGACCAAAAAAACAGAGAGAGAGAGAGAGGTCACACTTCATCCCAATTTGAGTTTGGATGTTGTCACTAGGGGTGTCAACAATTCGGTTCAGGCATCGGCGATACCTAGACCTATCAAAATGGGTCCAAATGAAAGAAGACCTGAATTGAAAGAAGACCAAGATAGGTAATATCCGTTCTTCACCTATTACCCGAACTGAAAATACCCGAAATTTTCTATTCGGGTACTTTTGGCACCTCTCTTTATTACCTTGGTTTGCTAAATTTTTATCATTAGTCGTTCACCATGCATGTGAATAAGGTTCACTTCTCATTAGGCTCTATTTGTTTCACAAAAAAAAATTATGCCGAAAAACATTTCCTCATTTTCTGACATTTAGATCACTTAGGAAAATGAGTTGTCAGAAAATCTTTTCATAGTCAACGAAAAACCTGTGCTAAAAATTCAGATAAATAATATCCTCTTTTAAAAAAAATAAGAAATCATTTTTCAAAATAACTAGACAACGGTGCTTGGACCAAATACCTTAGCACTTGGGCATGGGAACCTCGATGCCCGTGCGTAGGTCCATAGCGGCCCAGCCTAGGTCCCTTGAGGCTAGGTCGAGACCCGGTACCTATGCCCGATTTCCCCAGTTGTCATGCATGGATACCTAGCTCCTGTGCCAAGTCATTAGCACTCGAGCCCGGGTCCATAGAGGCCGGGCAAGAGACCTCGGTGCTTGAGCCTAATTCCCATCGGTCATGCCCAGGTACTCGGCTTCCGTGCTCAAGTCATTAGCGCTTGGGCGCGACTTAATCAAGGCTAGGCCCGGTTCCTTGGCAGCCAAGCCCGGTTCCTTGGCAGCCAAGCCCGAGTCCACAAAGTATGGGCCTAGGCTCCTCAAGGCCAAGCCCACGACCCTGGTGCCCAATTCGTGTCTTGGGTAGCTGTGCCTGAATACCTAGCTCCAGCGCCCAAGTCAATGGGGTTTGGCCTAGGTCCATCAAGGCAGGACCCAAGAAACCCTTGTTCCTACGACTAGGACTTCGTGGTCGGGCCCGACTCCCTTGAGGTTGAGGCCTAGTCCCCAATGCTCAAGCTGAGATCCTTGGTACTCAAGTCTGAGACCTTGGCAGACGGGCCAAGGTCCCTCGATGTTAGGCTCAAGACCTCGACACTGGTGCCTGAGTCGGCAGCAATTGTACTCAAGTACTTGGGACCCCAAGGTCAAGCCTCAATCTCCCCACCCCCACAATGGCTGCGTCCAAGACCCCAATATTGGGGCCCAAGTACCCCAAGGCCAGACCCGGGACCTAAGCACCCGAGCTTGAGTTCCATAAGAAAGAAAAAATTGTGTACAATCTATAAAATTATTTATGTTATGAAAATTTAATTGATAAAAATTTATTTATAATTTGATGATGCAGTACGTATAGCTTTATTTAAAATTTAAGTCTATTTAGATCACATGCACATTCACTTACCTTCCGATAAACACCAACGATACTCTTCTAATTATTCGCAATGATGCTATAATTCTCAGACAATCCATAATTCACCAAACAACATATTATGTATGCTAGAATATCAACCTAAAAAGTAAAATAGATTGGTGGAGGGAGACCCTTTCATAGCAATGATATGAAAGCACATGCATATACAGAGAGAATCTTAATCATACAAATAAATCTCTTCAGATAGTACAGGATATTTCTCTCCGAGGTATTCTTTTAGTTCAAAAAAACAATGTTCCAACCACCTAATGCTCAGCATTGTTTGTGGATCGCAGAGAAGTCGAACTCTCTATGCAAGTAACCGATCGAGTTTTGTATGAAAGCACGTGAAAATAATGTAGAATCTTAATCATTCATGAATACGGAAAACTATATATAAGCTATGGTGTGAAAGCACTTGAAAATGAAGAGCGAATCTTAATCAGACAAATAGAAGTCTCTTTAACATAGTACAATGTATTTCTGTCCGAGGCATTCTTTTAGTTTAAAAAACAATTTCCCAACCACATCCACTGAGGAGATACAGTTGGGGTGTTCTTTGAAATAAATATACTTTGACTACTTTAAAATCATCGAGATGGCAATCAAGTTGGACACATGAAAGGAGGAAGGGCTACATTTTGACTAGTTGATGGGTTCCATAGAAAGATCTGTGAGCGGTGAGGGTTCTTGTTGTCACAAGCGGATAAACAAAAAATTCCATTGCATGAACCAACTAAACGGACCTTATCGTGATTTTGGATAGATGAGTCATTGAAATTAGATAGTTCGTCTTCACGAGAAGAGGGCATCTACATTCTCGAAAGGTTGCCCGAAGTCACACTTGGCAAGATCCAGTTTTTGCAATTTGGTTGATCTCTTAACATAAGCTTTGACGAAAAAATTGCTCGAGAAAAGAACCTTCCAAGATTTACGTACACGCTTGAATCAAAGCTCTTGCTGGGGGAATAACATCTCCGTCGGATGGTCAAACTGGAAAGCTCTTTGTAGAATTGTTCAAGTAGCAAATGTTTTTAAACTCCATAATTGCTTCTCATTTTAATGTAAATGGCGATGATTTTACATTGGACGTAAAAATGCCTTTTGACTTGTCTAGAAGACGTAACCATGCCTATTGAATTGTTATATCTTATAAATGGTCTTTGTTGATTAAAGTTTTTTTTTAATTAACAAAAGGGTGGACGGCATGACCAATGGTAACAGTCTCTTCTTGCATTGCCAAATAGATCGAGAGAATTACAAAAAAAGTCCTAAACCTAATACAATTGTGTTAATTCAGTCATAAACCTTTTTTTTTACCAATTGAGTCCTAAAATTTTTGCATTTGTGCCAATTCAATCCGTTCTGTCAATTTTGGTTGGAATCGCTGACAAGATTGACACACTAGTCAAGCAACCAATCACCGAGGACTTAGGCCATCTAATTTGGAAACACCCATGAATTTTACTTAATTGTTATTATGACCATGTTTTAGTGATGATAGCAACATTTTGCTTTGGAAAAGTGAAATATACATTTTCGCACAAACAGTTTATAGGTTAGTTAAGGATTATAACTCTCTCTCTCTCTCTCTCTCTCTCTCTCTCTCTCTCTCTCTCTCTCTCTCTCTCTCTCTCTCTCTCTCTCTCTCTCTCTCTCTCTCTCTCTCTCTCTCTCTCTCTCTCTCAAATAAATAGTGTATAAAATCTCCAACTGCTAATGGAGGCTATAAGTATTAAGTACCCTTTTGCCTTTAACTATGTTCATTCTTGGTACAAGCTCTAATTCTCATCACCGCTCCCAATTTTGTTCGATGTCTTTTACACTAAAATGAGATGAAAATAGAGCTTGTAGCTTTCATTGTATTGCAACTCATTAATACGAATACGTACGACTCACGTTCGCATCTGCCCGGATCTTAACCTTAAATCTATCTCATACTTGCTTTATGGGGAGAAAGAAAAAGGAAACAGAGGTCGAATTTATAACACAAAAGATGCAAGAAAAATACGAGAACACTAGTATATATCACAACAATAATGGGTACATGGTGATAAATAACACGTCTCATTCATCGCAAGAATGACAAAGAAAGAGCTGTAAAAATCGAATGCTAAACACGAAGAGCGACGAATTAAAAGGAAGGCGATCCTCTCCGGGGATTCCTAGAAGCAGGCATCCAGGACGCAGCAACAGCAGAGCGCAGCAGCGCTGGTGAAAGAAAAAAAGGTAAGTAATTAGGACAACTGAATGTGTATATAAAAACATTCAAAAAAAATTAATAAAATGATAAAAGAAGGCTGATAATTACTTACCAGCCCTTCCAGAAGCCGTCGCCCCTAGCCTTGGTCGCGATAGGGACAGCGTTCTGCGGAGGCTGTTGGCCGTCCCTCGTGGGATAGCCGGGTGGCGGAGGCGCCCCGTACGCCATTGCCGATGCCGGTGGTGGGTGCGCCACTGCACAAAATATTGCATCCCGTCATCATGAGTCATCGATATATGAATACCCAACAGTGTAATTCAAGCTGAACATTTCGAAAAGTTTGTCTGAACTTCGGTGGTGGGGCCAGCGGCCACAGCCACTGTCTCCACCAGCCTCCCGGAAGGCCGCCAGTGACTCCTCTCGAGAATTCAAACAAAAGTACTAACTAAAAAGAGCAAGAGCTAGATCAATTTCTTTGTCTAATGAACATTTTCATATATAGTTCGAGACTAAATTAAATATGTACCAAAAGTCTAGAGATCATATTAAACAAATTAAAAATTCAGGAACCAAATTATATATTGGGCTAAAGTTCAAGAACTATTAGTGTCATTAACAAGTGCAGACGAACAAATGATTCCTGAACTACTGTTACAATCGTCGATGAACCACTATCTGATTTCGGACCACTTGCTCGACCCTAATCACAATCAACATGATAACTCTGCAAATCCTAAGTCCTTATCAATTTGTAGAATACTATCGAATTGAAAAGAGGGGGCAAAAGAAACGATTTCGCCAAGACTAGATCGGTGAAAACTAGAGAGCGAGATTCGAAATCGAAAGGGCGGGAGGATCGAGGATGATTGTTACCTGGGATTTGGTTCTGGCTGTTGTATTGGCTCATCTTCGATTCGGAAACGTCGACTGAGATCTCTTCTAGCTCACGAAGAAGTATGTGCTTGTGGAGGGAGAGATGATGGAGAGATGGTGCGAGATTTATAGAAAGAATGGAGGAGGAAGAAGACAAGGAGAAGGACGGAGCAGGTGGTGGCCTTGACGATGCTTCCGATGGCGCGTCACGCCGCGTAACCTCCATTTACACTAAAGCAAAAGGGTGAAGCAAAAGCGTTTTCCCTTCCTTCCCCAACTTAGCCGACGAGCCGGTTCCTATTTTTTACATTTTCCCCTTGTCAAAATGTAATATATTATTAAAATTTAAGTAAATTATGAAAAAAGGAGTTGTTATTTTTCGAGAGATTCAGATTTCAAAAAGGAAAAAGTAAATGTGTGCATTGCAAGATTCAGATTAAGCAAAAAATATTAAGTAGTGAAAGTAATTACAAACAGACTCTTGTAGGATGTAACAATTTACGAGATTGTGTTGGAATAAGCAAGTTTTGAAAACATCGAGAAATGGAAACGAACCTTTATTCGATAACCATCGAAAGATCGACTGCCGAATATGATTAATTCTCGTATGGTCGGAACCGTGATCGAGTTCGGCAGAATCTAACACGGTGTAATCCGGGAGATTTTCTCATAACTATCCTTGCCAATTTTTAATTCAATGCGCATGGGTGTAATCCCGATGTCACTTCACATAATGCGTGAGCTCCTCGTTCGATCGAATTTCGTGCGCCGGTGTAAATCGGGGTTATCAAATAAGTTTAATTCCCTATAACGTGTCGGATTATTTATTTTCAGTAATTAATTGAATTATTGAATCGTAAATAATTGTGGGGGGTCATTTGGGTAGGCACCATAAAGGAATCTCGAGAGATTGAATACAGATCGGAATTTAGTCATTTTGGCTAATTTTGATTGAATATCACTGACATGGCAGTCTAACAGCATCAACCGTCCTACGTGGTGCTAACATGGATATTTTTTTAGTTTTTTTAGAAATTTTAGAATTCACTCTTAAATTTTTTATTGATTTTTTTGTTGGTTTTTCTTTTTTTTTCCTCTTTTAACGGTCGTCGACCCCTAGGCAAGGACCATGAAGCCCTTGTCGGCGTTGATCAAGGGTCACGGCCCTCACCAGGGTCACGGCCCTCGCTGTGGCTGGCGAGGGCCTCGCAACCCTCACTTAGGCCCTCATCGACCACAGCAAGGGCCGCAACGTCCTCATTATGGTCCACGATGGCCTGGGTGAGGGCTCGCGAGCCCTCGCTAGATCTAGCGAGGCAAAGGCGTTACGGTCGGGCTACAGTGAGGGCGGGCAAGGGCCATAACCCTCACCCGGGGGCTGATAGGGGTTGCCGGCCCTCCTCCAGTTGCCGACACTTGGCCAGTAGCCAGTAGCCCCACCGACCCTATGTAAAAAGTGGAAAAAAGAAAGAAAAAAGAAAAAAGAAAGAAGGAAAAAAATAAACAATAATAAGAAGCAATAAAAATTTAGAATATTTAAACAAAAATTATCTACATCAGCGTCGGCCATGCCACATAGGACAATCAATATTAATTAGACTACCACGTCAGTAATTTCCGACCAAAATTAGCAGAAAGACTAAATTGACATTTCGTTAAAAGGTTTAGAACTAGTTTGGTAAATTGTTAAAATATTTATAACTAAATTTGCACAATTGAAATGTTTAGTACTGAATTGTCAAGTTGTCAAAAAGTTTAGGACTAAATATGGCACAATTGAAAAGTTTATGACCGAATTGACCGCCGTACAATAGGTTTAAGACTTTTTGGACTATTTTACCTCTTTTGTTTTATAAGAATAATTAACACGTTTCCAGTAAGTCGATCTTTCCAACTCGTTTATGACCTAGATAGTTAAACGGGTCCATTTTATATCCGTATCAAAGTTGGTCACGTCACATTTTATCAAAGAGTTAGGAAAGAAAGGATGATTGCCTAATCACATTATATAGAGAAGCCCCGTCAAACATTCAAACATTTTATTTGACATTACCATGCTAAGATAATTGTATTCAGTCTAATGACTTGGAAAAGGCAAAAAAAAAAAATTATGAATAGGGACGCTGATGTTGACCTGAAGAAAGAAGACCGCTCACCGGTCAGAATTCAAGTGATCCACGGATTCCGCTTTGATTGGATAAATGATGTGCAAGGTGGCGGCCAATGTGACACGAGGGGATATTTAGAGTAAGTCGAAATTTTTTTTTATTGACTAGTCTTCGTGATAGACATAATTTGGATTGATCCTACAATATCGCAAATTTGATTGAGGAGAGCCTTAAACACTCATCAAGCAACATCCTTCGCATAAGTCTTGATATCTGTGACCAAATATTTTCAGGGGCTAATTTCCTAAAAACATTAAATCTCAAATCTGCCTCGAATTTTTTTTTATCCCAAAAAAATCCTCAATTTTCACTGTAATCTCAAATCTGTTCACATGTCCAAAAATCGATATGGGTTTCTTCAATATTATCAATATCATGAGACTCTTGTTGTCTCATACGAATGCGAGGGTGTTGATAAAGATACGTACTCTGATAATAGACTTCTAACTGGCCCTGATGTTGATAATTTTGAAAAGAAAAAACTAGTAGTGGTTTTTGGACGCGGGGACATAGTGAAAGTTTGGGATTTTTTCAAACAAAAAAAATGTTCATAATAAAATTAAGATTTGACCTAAAATTGTGAGATTTATAGGGAATTATGCCATTCTTTAAGGAGGATTGGCACGCTAGTCAAGCAACTAATCACCGAAGAGTTACGCCATCTAATTTGGAAACGGCCCCATGAATTTTGGAAACACCCATGAATTTTACTTAATTGTTATTTTGACCACGTTTTAGTGATGATAGAAGCATTTTGTTTTCGAAAATAAAATATACATTATTTCTCACAAACGGTTTTATGGGTTGGCTAAGGATTATAACTCTCTATCTCTCTCAAATAAATAGTGCATAAAATCGCCAACCGCTAGAGGAGGCTACAAGTAGCCTTTTGCTTTTAATTAAGTTCATTCTTGGTACAAGCTCTAATTCTCAAGCCCACCCCCCATTTTGTTCAATGTTTTTTTTTTTTTTGGTAAGGATTTTTGTTCAATGTTGGATGTCATTTACACTAAAATGAAACGAAAATAGAGCTTGTAGCTTTGTTTGTATTGCGACTCGTTAACATGAATACGTACGTCTCACATTCGAATCTACCTTGGATCTCAAGCTTAAATCCAGCACTGGCTCATTTTATGGAGGAGAAAGAGAAAGGAAACTCCGATCGAATTAATGACACGAGATGCAAGAAAAATCCGAGAACACTAGTATATATCACAACAATAATGGGTACATGGTGACAATAACATGTCCCATTTATCGCGAGAATGACAAAGAAAGAGCTGTAAAAATCGAATGCTAAACACGAAGGGCGACGAATCGAATGGCCGGCGATCCTCTCCGGGGAATTCCTAGAAGCAGGCATCCAGGACGCAGCAACAGCAGAGCGCAGCACAGCTGGTGAAGAAAAGAAGAAGAGCAATTAGGACAAGTGAATATGTTAAAAAAACAGAAGAAAAAGTTAACAAAAAGATAAAAGAGGGGCTACATTGCGAGATAATAACTTACCAGCCCTTCCAGAAGCCGTCGCCCCTAGTCTTGGTCTCGATAGGGACGGCGTTCTGCGGAGGCTGTTGGCCGTCCCTCATGGGATAGCCGGGCGGTGGAGGCGCCACGTACGCCATCGTCGATGCCGGTGGTGGGTACGCCACTGCACAAAATATCGCATACTGTCATCACGAGTCATCGGTATATGAATACCCGAGAGCATAATCCGAGCCGAACAGTTCGAAAAGATTGTTTGAACTCCGGTGGTGGGGCCAGCGGCCACAGCCGCCGCCTCCACCAGCCCCTCGGAAGGGCGGGAGGATCGAAACAGATGGAGGATGGGTTTGATCATTACCTGGGATTTGGTTCTGGTTGTTGTACTGGCTCATCTTCGATCGGAAACGTTTACTGAGATCTCTTCTAGCTCACGAAGAAGTCTGTGCTTGAAGAGACAGATGATGGAGATGATGGAAAGAGGAAGCGAGAGAGATGATAGGATGGAGAGAATGCAGAGATGGTGCGAGATTTATAGAAAGAAAGGATGAGGAAGAAGACCCGGAGGAGGAGAGAGCAGCGTGGTTTGACTCGACGATGCTTCCGAAGGCGCGTCACGCCGCGTGAGCTCGAATACACAAGGGCTAAGCAAAAGAATAGGAAAACATTTATTTACTCTATCTTGATTAAAGAATACTTAGGCTCTATTTCTTGTGCGAAAAATTTTCCGTCTAAAAACGTTTTCCTCATTTTTTAGAGTTTGGATCACTTCAAAAAATGAGTCATCAGAAGATCTTTTTAAGATATTATGGTATGAAAGCACATGGATATAAAGAGAGAATCTTAATCATGCAAATCAGTCTCTTCAAATAGTACAGGATGTTTCTCTCCGAGGTATTCTTTTAGTCCCAAAAAACCAATGTTCCAACCAGCTAATGCTCAGCATTGTTTGTGGCTGGCAGAGAAGTCAAACTCTCTATGCTAGTAACCGATCGAGTTTTGTATGAAAGCACGTGGAAATAAAGGTAAAATCTTAATCATTCATGAATTTGAAACTATAAATAAAAGCTATGGTGTGTAAGCACCGGAAAAGAAAGAGAGAATCTTTATCAGACAAACAGAAGCCTCTTTAACATAGTATAATGTATTTCTGTCCGAGGCATTTATTTTAGTTTAAAAAACAATTTCCCAACCACATCCACTTAGGCGGTACAGTTGGGATTGTTCTTTGAAATAAATATTTACGTCGACTACTTTAAAATCAACGAGATGGCAAATTAAGGGATCGCATCCAAACCCAGCTAAGTTTGATCCGTGAAAGCTGGGTTGAGGAAGGGCTGCGTTTTGACTAGTTGATGGGTTTCGGTAGAAAGATCTGTGAGTGGTGAGGGTTCTTATTGTCACAAGTGGGTAAACAAAAAATTCGATTCCATAATAAACCAACAAAATTTGTCGCAAAAGATGCTCGTGAAAAGAACCTTCCAAGAAATGACGTGCACGCTTGAATCAAAAGCTCTTGCTGGGGAATAACATCTCCATCGCAGGGAAAATTATCCAAAAAGTACTAAATCTATTGCACTTTTATCAATTCAGTCCTAAACTTTTCAAGTT